TTCTTTTCATACGCACTTAACTATGTTGACTAATCACATGTTTAAATATCTTTTAAACATCATTATGAACACATATTACATTTATTTAGGTAATCTCATAATTAACCCAAAAGTTATAAGATATTAAGCCGTCCACTCACCTTGAACTAGCGTTATGAAGTTCTACCCTTCTTGGTTGAACTCCGGTGAAACTCCGGCGACTTTTGGTCAACTCCGGTGACAACTCCGGCGACTTTTCCAACTTTGTGAAACCACTTGAAATACCCTTTACAAGTTCCTTAATTAATCACATTTTTCCCAACTTTTTCCTTCTCAAATCTTCCTCCTTGGACCTCTATGGCTTGAGCTCGAGTTGTAGCAATGGAGAGTGTTTTGAGAGCTCAATTTTCTTCTTCTTGGAGGGGATTGGTCGAGCACAATGATGAGGAAGGAGGTAGGAAGTGTCCTTCTTTGTCTTGGTTGACAAATAATGTGTGTGGGTGAGGTCCACACCTCAAATGATCCCATTCCAATCAACTTAGCTCCATCCTCACATGTTGTGCGGCCACACAAGTCCCATTTGAGACCCAAAAACGTGGGGTGGCCCCCACTCATGTGGGAGATCATCCCAACTTGTCCCGAAATGTACAATCGGCCCCGAAAGTTGTATTTTTCAGACTGTTTTAAATATATTTTATTTTATCGGGTCAAATAAAATATATTATGTGCTCTCAATCGTAATGGCCTTTTGAAATAATATGTATTCCAAAACATTAATTTAGAAATCTCCGAAATTCATTTTCGGGCTGTTATCTGTTAAGTTGCCGGTACCGGTATTTGGGCCTCTTTTGCCCAATCGGTCAACTCTGGGCCTTTTCACGACCCAAATAAAATATCCACCACTATATAAATATTATTTCGACCCATAAGAATGATTTATGTGATCTCGGGAATGTCGGGTGGCCCCCCGCTCCCGGTGTGGGTCCCACGTGCAATTTACTATTCACGCGAAAGAAATAATAAAAATTTACAACTTCGTAAATTCATTAATCCTTTAATAAGGTTCAATACATTATTTACATGAAAGTAAATATATTTGGGGACGGTGTTACAGAGTAAATAAAGAATAATCAGCACAAGATTGAAGAAAACCATATCCTTTGAGAGCGGTGACAAGTTTGGCAAACCAACACCTGGGAGCTTGCTTAAGCCCATAGAGTGATTTGTGAAGATGACATACCAACGATGAATCCGTAGTGGTATAGCCGGGATGAATCGTCATATATACTTCTTCCTCAAGATCACCATGTAAGAACGCATTGTGAACATCCATCTGATGAAGTTCCCGATTTTTACAGGCTGCAATGGCGAGGAATGCTCGTGTCGTCACCATTTTAGCAACAGGGGCAAATGTTTCCGTATAATCTAGGCAGGGCACTTGGCAATTGCCAAAAATAACCAAACGTGCCTTAAGGCGCTCAATAGTGCCATCAGACTTATGTTTAACTTTATAAACCCACCGGCAACCTAAGGCACGTATGCCAGGCAGCAATGGAACAAGACTCCAAGTGGAATTATTTTCAAGAGCTTGAATCTCTGCACGCATTGCTTGGCGCCACCCATCGTGTTTGACTGCATCAGCAAAAGAATTTGGTTCCGTAACAGAGTTAAGAGCTGCCCGGTAAGCCAAATGTTTTGGAGAAAATTATCACAAGCAACATAATGAGTTATAGGGAACGGCATACCTGAAGAAGATGACGAACCAGGAGGAATGGGGAATGGACTGTTTTGCACAAAGTATGTGTGACATAATCATGGAGACGGACAGATGGCATCCGTGGATGATGTCCCCGCCGAAATGTTTCTGGCCGGTCATGTGATACATGAGAATTCAAATGAAGCTCCTGGGTAGTGTGGGAGTCCATAGTAGGAGGTGAGGGTGGCACGTGCATGTAGGCGTCACCCCCGTGGCTGGACACAGCCATAGGATACCCATGCATAGCTAAGTCATCATAATTTTGAAGAAGTATGTCAGAGGGCTGATCCGTATGATCCAAGGTTGCCTCTAATGGTTTGGCAAGAGGAAAAATATTCTCAAAAAAATTGACATCGCGAGAAACAAAATATTCCCCGTTTTCAATGTCATAAACAGTCCAACCTTTCTTGCCAAACGGATAGCCCAAAAAATGCATTTTCTACCCTGATTAGCAAATTTGTCCCCTCTAGACTTCAAATTGAACGCATAGCACATACAACCAAACACACGCAGAGATTTATAACAAGGAGCCATATCAAATAAAATCTCATATGGTGTTTTATAGTCAAGAATCGCTGAGGGAGTCCGGTTAATAAGATGAGATGCTGTAAGAACACATTCCCCCCAAAATTTAATTGGCAAGTGGCCTTAATTAAAAACGCAAAGCGCGTGCCACATTTAAAAATATGTCTGTGTTTGCGTTCAACCCGCCCGTTTTGTTGAGGCGTGCCAACACAAGATGTCTAGAAAATTATACCACTACTTCTAAAGAAATCTTTCAGACAATTAAACTCTGTACCATTGTCACTTCGTACGGTAATAAGCTTTTTAGAAAATTGACAGTCAGCCATAGCAACCAAAGAAAGAAACATTTTCAACACCTCCTTTTTATCAACAAGCAAGTAAACCCAAACAACACGAGAGTAATTATCCACTATATTTAAAAAATGTCTAGCACCACATGAAGAAGGAGTATTGTAAGGACCCCACAAATCACAATGCACCAATTCAAACACATCACGAGTTTTATTCTGACTAGTAGGAAAAGAGTCTCTTGTTTGCTTTGCCTTAAAACAAACATCACAAGGGAAATTGTCTGCAACCTTTAAACCACTTACAGGGACTAAATGTTCAACTACATTCGAGGAGGGATGCCCCAACCTTTGATGCCACAATCCAAATTCAGATGCCTTTGATTCTCTCACTGCCAAAATCTGCGCTGAGAGTTCCTCTCGAAGGTAGTACAGTCCATTCCGCAGCTCACCCGTTCCAATCAGCTTCTTCGAGTGACGGTCCTGTATAACACACAAGTTACTACTGAATTGAACAAAACAATTGAGCTGATCACTTAGTTGAGAAACAAACACAAGATTGCCAGAACGTATAAAACATTATTTAAATAAAAATTATCAAATAATTCCACACGTCCTTCTTGCGGAGCCACAACTGTTTGTCCATCGGGTAAACCGACCAAACAAGGTTCAACAGATTTTATTTGACGCAAAATAGCCAAATTTCTACACACATGATTTGTGACCCCTGTATCAATCATCCAAGCATTATGATCGTATTTACCTGTCATGCGGTCATTAGAAGCGATAGGATTACCAAAAAGAGTCATCAAGGTTTTCCATTGCTCGGGCGTGAATCCGGGTAGTGGCGTGGACTGGCTGTTACTTCCCTCACCAACTGGTGAGGCTTTCGTCTCGGCTGCCAAATCAGCGACTGCCGGAGTTCTGTGATTTGCCAAAAAGAGTCATCAAGGTTTTCCATTTGCTTTAACAGGAGGTTTGCCACGTCCCATGCCGGAGTTCTGTGATTTGCCACGCCCTCCTCCTTTTATACCCAGCTTCAGTCTGTCTCCCCACCGGTCTGGGTAACCATTAAGTTCAAAGCAATTGGCAATTTCATGACCCGAGTATTTGCAATATGTGCAAATCAACCCAGATTTATCTGTCTTCGCTCCACGTCCAGCCCCCTTTCCATCCGTCCGCATGGCAAAACCCAGAATATCTGGCCGTTCTTCATGAGCTTGGGCGAAACCATGCACACGATCTTCTTGCATGGCCTATTGATAAGCTCGGTTCAAGCTAGGCAGGGGATTTTGAGTCAAAAGGTGCGAACGTGTAGGGCCGAAGAAATCTGTGTACAATCCCATCAAAAATTGGTGAAATCGCTCCGATTCTCTTTGTTTTACATGTTGACCCGTTACATCACATGCACATTTACCACACTTACACGCAATGAGCGGTTCATAATTGTTCAAATCGTCCCATAAACTCTGTAGTTAGCAAAATACGTCCCTACTGCCATGCCTTTGGTTTGCACACATCTTGCCAAATCAGTTTTGGTTTGATGTATGCACGGCCCGTCGGCAGAAGCAAAGCGTTCCTTTAGGTCCTGCCAGAGCTTGGCAATATCTTCATAGTGAGCCAAAGTGGATTTTACATCGGCGTTAACAACATTCAATAGCCACGACACAATCATCGAGTGTAGCGTAAGCCAATCATCCTCGGTGCACGGTGGTGTCAGTTTTGTAATAGTTCCGTCAACGAACACAAATTTGTGCCTTGCTCGTAAAGCCAAACAGACTGCGTTGGACCAATCATCATAGTTGTTGCCGTTAAAACGGACCGAAGTAATGAAGTCCCCAGGCCGGTCTTGAGGACCCAAAAAATACGGCGAGGTGTAATCGATCTTCGCCGTGGTATCACACTATCACCGGACGTCGCACTGTCTTCGTCGTTCGCCATGTTTCCAGGTTCGAGCTTATGAATGCTCTGACCCAAAAAAAATGGGCCGCTGAAAAAAATATGAATTATGGCACGATCCAGACGAAGTGTCTGGTCGTGAGGAGGGATGCTAAATGTCCCACACCGAAAAAGATTGAATGAACAAAGTGGTATATTAACACATGAGCTACTCCTCCTATCAGGTTGACTTTTTAAGATAGAACCCCAGACCTTAACAAAATAACTTTGAGAATTCCAAAATATGACCACTATGTTTTTCTTCCGAAATAGGAGTTGTTGCTGTCATGATTGAAAAATATGACATGATTGGAAAATACTGCCATAAGTTATAATATATGTCAGGTTGAATGCATATTACTGCAACTATTTGACAGTAGTCGACTAAGAGATTGCAGTAAATACTGTCATCTTAATCTTATTTCGGAGTAACACGATAGTCCTATTTTGGAATTTCAAACTCTATTCAGTCTTATTTTGAGAAAACTCTTTTTTTTTTTTGTGATTTTGCCCACCGAGTTAAAAAAAGTGATATTAGGGTAATTATCTCTATAAATAATCCCTACATTTTGCTCACGATACGGACGTAGCTATAGACTGTACAACAAAGAAGAAGAAAACAACGTCAGAATAGATCAGATACGATGCCGCCGTTGCTCCTCTTCTTCTTCTTTTTCATACTCTCCCTTTCGTGTCCATTGACTTTGTCTCACCCCCGAGGGTCCGGTCAACTGCGAGCTCTTGACCACCTCTTCAAGGCCAAACGGAGCAGCAACTCCGCCGTCGACCGCACCCCTTTCGCTGTCGATGACAGTGATGCCCATCCTGAACTCGACGGTGACGGCAGACCAATGAACATCCTCGCTCAGGATGGGTTGAAGGAGAAGGATAGGATCGAACGGCTTCCCGGGCAACCGCCGGTCCGGTTCAACCAGTACGGCGGCTATGTTACGGTCGATAAGGCTGCCGGCCGGGCCCTCTACTATTACTTCGTTGAGGCGTACAAGCAGGAGGAAGCGTCCTCGCGGCCTCTCCTTCTTTGGCTAAACGGAGGTAATTAATTTCACTTCTAATTCTTTTTTTAAAAGTAGACTTACAATCACAATCAGTTTTTCAAAAGCTGATTTCCGATTTCAAAAGCTGATTTCCGCAACGAAATACGAAGTATAATACTTTTGGGACACATTGAAATACTTTCATTCAAACACTTCCATATTTGTTGCTTGTCTATAAAGAAGTTGAGATAATTTTAAAAGTGGATCCAAAAACCCTTTTGTATTAGTTTTTCGTATGAGCCCTTACATTTTTTATTAATCCATATAACATAATCTCCTTCTTTGGCTAAACGGAGGTAATTAATTAAGATTGAGAAACTACCATTTTGCCCCTTACATTTTGTCAATTAATCTCTTTGCATATTCTTTTTTTGTTTACTTGTGACACCTTCAAAATTGGATTTTAAAATTTTGTAATGAAACAAATTCAACGATAATTTAAAATTTATTTTACTTAAAGCAAGTATTTGTTATTTGTAAGGAAGTATTTCAGCTTAATACTAAAAATTTTATGCGTAAAAAGAATGAAGATAAAACATCCTTGCATTATAATTCCATTTATATTTAAATTGTGAATAAATGAGCTTCTAAATGAGTTCTCTTTAGGGACTTGTTCAAGGTCTTATATTTAAATAATACGGAGTAATAATTTTCATAATTAATAAATAAAATGTTCTTAAAATAAAGAACATGAATAGTGTAAATTAACTAAGAAGAAACAGATGTTAATACTAATTGTCTGATCTAAGATACAGACAAAATAAATGGAGCTTATGCCAAAAAAAACTTGTACAAGAGATTAAGTTGTTCACCAAATGTCAACTTACACATACACTAAATTTCTTTCATTGATAATTGGATATTCAATTCAATGTTTTGTTTCCTTAATTTATGCGTTAATTAGTTGAATTTTGTATTCAAACAGCCAAAAAGTTTCAAAGAACATTCAGTTGTTTTTCGTAAGAGAGTTTCAATTCATTGGTTCTTGCAATTAAGGGTCCCACTCGCATGCCATACCACTTTGTCTTATTTGTTGGGTCGTAGTCGAAGTTACGAAAAAGGGTCTTTTTTAATGTTCACGGAGCATGAAGTACCGACTATATTTTCTAATATTACTAACTTTGTTGCATCTTTGAACCTTTGATCGATCAAATTAATCTTTTCAAAAAATACTTTTACGTGAAATGATTTATAAAATTAAAATCATATAAAAATGTTCTTTATTGGAAATACTTCTATAAAAGTATAAAATTATAATCATCAAAACTCAAAATCCTTTTCTATTTCAAGTATGGTTGCTATAGTTAAATTAGAGAAAATTTTAAACAAGAGCAAAATTCATCCCATTTAGAACCCATTCAGTAACAATGAAATTGGTTGAATAAGCTGATTCTGTTGAAATTTATGAAATTCTGGTTCAAGTGGCTGGATTGGCCGATTCTATTGATTTATGGGAAAAAAAATATTTAAAATATTTTTTATTAAAAAATTAAAGAAAAAAGTATATGAAAAAAATAGTCAAATGATTCTCTATAATAACTTCAGCCAATACAGCCAGAAAAGTAACTTCAACCTCCTTTTTCTTATTATTACACAATTCAACACGTGAAATCGAAAGTAACGTTCTGAAATTGACACTAATTTTGTTAGATTCAGTGACATTCTTGTTGAAACGGTTGAATGGACCAAATGTGTTCAATTTGAGAAAAATTCAAAAGAAACTTTTTAATAACATATAATAAGAAAGTAGTTAAAATAATCTTAAACAAATGTAGCAAGAAAAGTAACGTTAATCACACTAGAAAAAGTAACTTCAATCGATTATTACGTACTCATATTATACGGTTATAATTCAACCCCGAAATCAAATATTACATTCATAACAAAGTGAAAGATAATTGATAAAAATGTTGATGGATAAGAATGATCAAGTGAAAATGGGGTTACTAATCAGGCTTTTACTATTATTATTACATTCATCCCAAAAATTAAGAACTACAGAGCCTGATTTTTCTACACTGGCGATCCGAATCGATGGAAACAATCAATTAAGGCCTTAAGTTTAATTTGGGAGTGAAATTATTGGTGCTCGATTGATCATTTCTAAAATTCATTATTATTCGCACGTTTACTGGAAGACGATTTTGTCATATGTATGCATTCGGTCGCCTTTTCGGACGACCAAGACAATTTGTGTGGGTATGAATAAACACTAGACGATAAAAGGGTGTAAGATGGATATGATCCACTGGGCGTGACATTATTTGCAGCAATTAAAATGGGAGGTACCCTTTCTTCAGCGCCAGCCAGGTTGGGAGGATATATACATAATAAGTAAGTGAGAAAAAAATAAAAGTAAATCAAGATAGAAAATTTCATCCACAATTTCTGGATGGGGAAACGGAGAAACTTGAAAAACAGGACTTATTCACAAATTTAATCTATGTTTTTTAACCTAGTGTTACTAAAATACGTGGAATATGAGTTTTTTCCTATATATATATGATTATATTTTGAACTGCTTTAGTAACAAACGTGAAAACCATGGGACACGTGAAATATGAAAAATTATCTTATCTTTAATAGAAAAATGATTATTTGTAGAGTTTTTTTTTTTTGAGCGTTTATTTGTAGAGTTTTTGAAATTTTGAATTCATATAGTACTTGAAACGGAAATGAAGCCTTTTCCAAAAGTTTATCCTGCTTCATAGACTGAAAATTTTGAAATTATGATCGACTAAAACGATTGAATTGATTTAGTCGTGAAACTTTATTGTAAAAATATTGTTTATCAATAAAAACAAATTATATCTAAAAGGATAAAAATAGTCATTTTCCCATTTCCACACAGTTTTATTTATTTTGTATTTATACAAACCATCATCTGGAATTAAAAGTTTATCCTTTAGTAAAATGATGGTTGATACGACCAATAAGATCATCAGATAGAAAAATAGGTTCTTTATTTTTAGTTAACTAGCTTTCAAGCCCGTGCGATGCACGAGCATTATGTAGTTTAGCTAATTTGAAATTTGATTTCTTTCGGATCATATGTAATGTGATTTAAAAGAAAAATAATTTAGTCTAATATAAAGCCTGTTTGATAATACTAAAATAAATCGAATTAACTTATTTTATTGAAATTGATTAAATTCTGGCTGAATGGGCTGAATGGGTGAAATATCCCGAATCATGAAAAAAATATGTAAAATATATTCCATTTGTGAAGCCAAGAAAAGATCATTTGAAAAATAGTTAAATGGATCTTCTACATATTGAATATAATTGTTATGAACCCGATTTTAAAGAATTCACAGAGCCCGTTTGGAGACCTTTTTTTTCGGCTTATCAGGCTTATCAGCCAGCTTTTTCACCAAACACGTAATTTTTACTTTCGCGTGCTGAATTGTGTAATAAGCAGAAAAAGTAAGGTTGGAGTTACTTTTCTGGCTGTATTGGCTGAAGTTACTGTAGATGACCATTTTAGCTATTTTTACATGTAATTTTTTCTTTATTTTATTAATAAAATATATTTTTAAAATATTTTTTTCTAGAATCAGCAGAATCAGCCAAAACAGCCACTTCAGCCAGAACTTAATAAATTTCAGCAGAAACAGCCAAAACAGCCGATTTTCGTGCTACCAAACGGGCTCACAATCTCACATCCTCTAAATTACTTTATTATGCACCTCAAGTTTTTTCTTCTGCATTTCTCATTCAACTTGATGTGAAATATTGAGTACATATTTTTAACTTTTAATAATAAGATGTTACATTTTATTCATTATTTCGTCACACCGTAAATGTAAAAAAATAGAGTTTTTAAACATTTTACTCATTATTTCGTTACATTGAAAACAATTTTTAATTGTTATGAACATCTAAATTAGTTTATTGAGCATTTCAAAATAATACTTTTCTAGTATTTCTTATTCAACTTGGTTTGAAATTCACATTTTAAAATTTTAATTGTGAGATCTTACATTTTACTCATCAAAAAGGACGTTTTAAAAATTTGATTGTTACTATGTAAGTCCGTGCTTAAAATTTGGTTATTAATTGTTGTGGTTCCAATTACATAATTTAATACTTATCAAATACGTAATGGGTTTTGAAAAAGTTACCAAATTAATTAAAGTTGACTGCGTCAAAATATACATATAAAAACGCAGTCAACTTCAAAAAATGATTTGAATGCCTTCCCGAACGAATTTTGAGCTGAAATTTGGTATGAACAAACTAGACCTGATGAAGAACATGCTCAAAAAATTTCATCAAAAACTTCCACCGGGAAGTGCCCCAAATGGCCATGTTCGGACACTGTTCGGACCGGGGGCTGCTGGACAGGATCATTCCTCTATATGTGTGTGTGTGTGTGTATATATATATATATATATATATATATATATATATATATAACGTTGATACGAATGACTTCATTATGGATTTATAGTTCATATGCGTTCTCGTCATTCATTTTTAGGGTTGAATGCATATTACTGCAACTATTTGACAGTAGTCGACTAAGAGATTGCAGTAAATACTGTCATCTTAATCTTATTTCGGAGTAACACGATAGTCCTATTTTGGAATTTCAAACTCTATTCAGTCTTATTTTGAGAAAACTTTTTTTTTTTTTTTGTGATTTTGCCCACCGAGTTAAAAAAAGTGATATTAGGGTAATTATCTCTATAAATAATCCCTACATTTTGCTCACGATACGGACGTAGCTATAGACTGTACAACAAAGAAGAAGAAAACAACGTCAGAATAGATCAGATACGATGCCGCCGTTGCTCCTCTTCTTCTTCTTTTTCATACTCTCCCTTTCGTGTCCATTGACTTTGTCTCACCCCCGAGGGTCCGGTCAACTGCGAGCTCTTGACCACCTCTTCAAGGCCAAACGGAGCAGCAACTCCGCCGTCGACCGCACCCCTTTCGCTGTCGATGACAGTGATGCCCATCCTGAACTCGACGGTGACGGCAGACCAATGAACA